GTACTTGTCTTTCTCAGCCTGGCTTATTTCACTGAGCATAATACCCTCTAGATCCATCCATGTTGTTGCGAATGGTAGGATTTGTTTTTTTCTTAGGGCTGCGTAATATTCCATTGTGTATATGTACCACATCTTCTTTATCCATTCATCTACTGATGGAACACTTAGGTTGCTTCCATTTCTTGGCTATTGTAAATAGTGCTGCAATAAACATAGGGGTGTATCTGTTTTTTTCAAACTGGGCTGCTGCATTCTTAGGGTAAATTCCTAGGAGTGGAATTCCTGGGTCAAATGTTATTTCTATTTTGAGTTTTTTGAGGAACCTCTATACTGCTTTCCACAATGGTTGAACTAATTTACATTCCCACCAGCAGTGTAGGAGGGTTCCCGTTTCTCCACATCCTCGTCAACATTTGTTGTTGTCTTTTGGATGTTGGCCATCCTAACTGGTGTGAGGTGATATCTCATTGTGGTTTTAATTTTCATTTCCCTGATAATTAGCAATGTGGAGCATCTCTTCATGTGCCTGTTGGCCATCTGAATTTCTTCTTTAGAGAAGTGTCTATTCATATTCTCTGCCCATTTTTTAAAAATTTTTATTAAGGTATGATTAATATACACTCTTATGAACATTTCACATGAAAAAACAACGTGTTTACTACATTCACCCTCATTATCAAGTCCCCACCCATACCCCAGTGCAGTCACTGTCCATCAGTGCAGCAAGTTGCCAGAGATCTACTATGTCCTTTCTCTGTGATACAGTGTTCCACCCATGATCTCCCACACCATGTGTACTAAACATAATACCCCTCAGTCCCCTTCTCCCTCCCTCCCCACCTGCTCTCCCATACCCCTTCCCTTTGGTAACCACTAGTTCATTCTTGGAGTCTCTGAGTCTGCTGCCATTTTGTTCCTTCAGTTTTGCTTCATTATTATAGTCCACGAATGAGGGAAATCATTTCTCCGCCCATTTTTTTAATAGAGTTATTTGCTTTTTGGGTGTTGAGGTGTGTGAGTTCTTTATATATTCTGGATGTTAACTAACCCCTTATTGGATATGTCGTTTAGAAAGATATTCTCCCATACTATAGGATGCCTTTTTGTTCTGCTGATGGTGTCCTTTGCTGTACAGAAGCTTTTTAGTTTGATATAGTCCCATTTGTTCATTATTGCTTTGGTTACCCTTGCCCAAGGAGATGCGTTCACAAAAAAGTTGCTCATGTTTATATTCAAGAGATTTTTGCCTGTTTTCTTCTAAGAGTTTTATGGTTTCATGACTTACATTCAGGTCTTTGATCCATTTCGAGTTTGCTTTTGTGTATGGAGTTAGAGAGTAATCCAGTTTCATTCTCTTACATGTAGCTGTCCAGTTTTGCCTACACCAGTTGTTGAAGAGGCTGTCATTTCCTCATTGTATGTCCATGGCTCCTAGATAGGACTTTTAAAATAAACAGAATTTGAGGGTAAGAAATCTGTTTAGGTGGTGATTTCAGTAGTTTAGGTCCAGGGACAACAGCGAAATGATACAAACGTAGGAGAGCTGTGATGAAAGGGCAACAGGACTTGGCAATGGATTGCATGTGAGAGGAAGGGAAAGGAGAAATAGCAGTCAGGTGATGTTCTGGTTTAGAGGACAAGGAGAAATTTCATTCCATAAATTAAATAGGGATGTTAGGAGATGGAGCCAATTAAGTAATAGATATTAATAAAATAATGAGGACCTGATCCCATTTTAAGTCAATGGGAAAGGAACATTCAGTGAAAGACAGAGAGATTAAAGATTTGCACTTCTATAGTAAACTGGAATCTTATTACAATATAATATATAACTATAAAACAATATCCTTCTTTCTAGAGCATTCTGTATAAAAGTAGATTTATATTAGAGCTTTGATATTACTAAAAGGCTGAAAAGACCTTGTGAAGACTGTTCCATCCATAAAACAGTTCCCTTAGTGTGTACTTTACATCAGTGTTAGACTTTCCGTTGTTGGAAAATGAGGGAGTCGTTATAAGAGAATTATTCAAATAACTAAGGATTGCCTTTTTAAGCATTATATACCCTTTTAATCATTTTATCATAGAACTATTTTTTAGAAATGTGCCTTCCTGTGTCTTCTTATGCTGAGTATATTAAATGTAATTTAACTTTTTATCAGAGATTTAAGGGAATAATTTTGATTATCAGCTATGCTGGGCTATTCTCTTGCTACATCCTCTTGTGCTCTATTTTACTTTATTTACTTTAGTATAAAGTTTTAAAAATCTTTCTTGAGAGTGTTGAATCAGTCTAAGAATAGCAAGGTCTAGTCTGGAAATAGTTATCTTGACTTTTCATAATTTTTTCAAATGGTTTTTTGAAGCAGAAACGCAGTCTGATTTGATCCTCTTTTCTGCCCACAGGTAGATATCATCTGTGGCGATCACTTGTTGGAGCGGTATCAAACTCTGAGGGAAATACGGCGTGTAATAGGTGATGCAGCAATGCAGGTAGCTCTTAGATATTATCATCCTTATGTCTGTTAGCAAGTTATTTAATGAAAGAAAAAGGTTCCATGTTATCAATTAAGTTTTAATAAACATTCTACAGTGTTCTTAAAATTACCAGACTAAAAATAATAAAGCTAATATTTATTTAATGTTTACTGTGCATCAGGCACTTTTCTAAATGGTTTATAAGAAATTGTTCTTTTATTCCTCATAATTCTATGAGCTAGATATTCTTTTATCCCCCGTTTTAAAGATAAGAAAATTGAGGTACAGAAAGGCCATGTAATTTGCCCACAGTAAGCCAATAGGTGAGCCAGAGCTCACACCTCAGGCAGCTTGATTTTAGAGGCCTAGCTCTTTTTTTCTCTGTCCAGTACTATAGGAGCTTTGAAGACTACTGGACAAATATATCTACAAGGGCATTTCTGTAAGGAAAATTTGCAGCTATTCATTAGGCTTTAGAGCTTCACATACCATTTCCTGGTCAGTTGGTAAGATGCACCATGATAACTATTTTGATGTTTTAATTCGTCTGTAATGTGAATGGGAATATAATGTGAAATCTCCTTGTCAGGATAAATGAAAAGCAAGATAGGATCTACAGTTTTAATGAGGAGAAAAGCAAGATCCACATATTCTAGCATACCACTGAACCTAGAGTGGTAAATTGTTTTAGGAGCTGAATGGCCTGGAGTACTAATAAAGATTTGATGAGCAGCTTTCAGCTAAACAAATTTTTGTTTAGTTTGTTAAAAATGTAATTCTTTGTTTTGGTAAAATTGCCTGTGCTCAGTGAACAACTACTTAAAAAAAGATGCAGACTATTAATGAAAAGCTGGAACACTACTGTCACTGCCATAAATTAGTTTTCCTGTTTTTTTTCATTAGCAGTTTTATTGAGATACAATTAACATACTATACATTTGAAGTATACAATTCAATGGTTTTTAGTATATTTACAGTTGTGAAACTAATATCACAATCAATGTTAGAACATATTTATCACCCCAAAAAGAAACTCCATACCTATTAGTCCTCATTCCTCATATAACTCCACTCCCCCAGCCTTTGTCAGCCACTATATTTTCTGTCTCTGTGGATTTATCTATTCAGGACATTTCATATAAATGGAGTCACACATAAGTGGTCCTTTGTGACTGGCTTCTTTTACTTACAATGGTTTTAAGGTTCATCCATTTTGTAATATGTATCAGTACTCTATTCCTTTTTGTGGTGAATAACATTCCATTATATGGATATGCAATACTACATTTTCTTTATTCATCAGTTGATGGATATTTGGGTCGTTTACATTTTTTGGCTAATGTGAATGGTGCTGCTGTGAATATTCATCTGTGAGTTTTTGTGTGGACATGTTTTTATGTCTGTTTGGTATATACCTAGGAGTGGAATTGATGAGTCATACAATACCCCTATGTTTAACCTTTTAAAGTACTGCCAGACTGTTTCCAAAGCAACTTCACCATTTTATATTCCAAGGAGTGTGTAAGTGTTACAATTTCTCTACATCCTCACCAGTATCTCTTATCTTCTTGATTATAGTCGTCTTTTTGGGTATGTAGTGGTAACATTGTGGTTTTGATTTCATTTCCCTGATTACTGATCATGTTGAACAACTTTTCATGTGTTTATTGGCTATTTGTATATCTTGGGAGAAATTTCTATTCAGATCCTTTGCCCACTTTTAAAAATCGGGGTTTTTGTGTTTTTATGATTGAATTACAAGAGTTCTTCATATATTTTAAGTACTAGTCCCTTATTAGATACATGATTTGTGAAAACCTTCTCCCATTCATTGGGTTGTCTTTTCACTTTCTTCATGATGATCTTTGAAGCACAAAAGCTTTTAATTTTAATAAAGTCCAATTTATCTCTTTTTCCTTTTGTTCCCTGTGCTTTTGGTGTATATCTAAGAAACCACTGCCTAATCCAGGGTCATTAAATTTTTGTGATTTTGCTAATAAAACTTGTGTGTGAGTATTGGAAAGATGTTCCAGAGCTAATTGTTCTTTACTGCAATATTATAGGTTGTAGTTACCTTTCAGTTATAGGCACACTTATGTGATAACAATCAATTTGTCAGAGTAGCAAAAATAATTAGCAATAAAGTGATTAAAGACCATCATTTTATTAAATGGCTATCCATTAATTTATATTTCATATGATTTAAAAAGGAGAAGATTTAATCATCTTTCTTTTTAAGAGTAACTGGCTTTTCCATTTAACAACAGTTCTATTTCCAAAAAGAACATAACGAAGCATGAAATGTAATTATTTTTACAGTACAGCCCACATAGTGATAGAATGAGATGATATTAGGATTTAGTGAAAAAATTCTTCAAGCAATTTGTATTGGAAAGTGAACAGAAAAAGGAAAATCTATTTATCAACATGCAGGTTAATTGAGGAACAACAAATGTATGATATGCAATTGCTTATAACTAGGAGAAGGACAACATTAATAATAACTAACATTTCTTATATGTCACATACTGTATTCGAAGTGCAAAACGACATGTGTTACTTTGTGTAAGCCTCACAACAACCTTAAAAGATAAGAACAATTATCCCCTTTTTCTTTTTTAAAATATTATTGTAAAATAACTTAAGACTTAGAGAAAAGTTACAAAAATAATACTGAGAGCTCTATGTAGGTATCCTCCAGCATCCTTTAAAATTAACATCTTGCATAACTATGATACGCTCAGCAAAAAATTAACATTGCTACAGTATTATTAATAAAACTGCTGACATTTGGATTTTGCCCGTTTTCCTATGTTGTCCTTTATCTGTCTCAGGATCCAAATCCAGATTCCATGTTGTGTTTAGTAATCACGTCTCCTTGTCTTTTCCCAATCCTCTGATACATCCTTGTTTTTCATGACTTTGATGACTGGACAGTTATTTTATAGACTATTCCTCAATTTGAGTTTGTCAGATGTGTTCTCATGGCTAGATTGAAATTATGTGTTTTGGGCAGGAATGCCATAGAAGTAATGTGTCCCCATAGTATATCAAGAGGTACATAAGGTCAGTATATATTAATATTGGTAGCTTTTCCTCTTTGTAATTAATATCTTGGGGGGAGATACTTTGAAACTGTGCAGATATCCTGTTTCTCCTCAAACTTTGCCTTTTTATTCTAACATCCAGTTGTGACATTCTGTGGAAACCTGCGTAAAGAGGTTAAGTAACTTGCCCAAGGTCACTTGGTGAATTAGTGGTAGAATTCAGAAGTTGAACTTAAAGCTCAAGCTCTTAACAGAGGGGCAGCCAAATACTTTTCTGAGGGATTATTTGATTTATTGCTATTCATTTTTAGATATACAGCTCCTTACCAATGATCTCTATATTGTAAAAAGAAACAGTTCAAAAGAATCTTTATAAAATATGAAAGCAAGTTTATTTCTGGTTAAGTAAAGCATACTTAGAGATATAAACAAAACATTTTCTAAGAATTTTATAAGGTCAAATTTTAGAAATCTTAGAGAATGATTGTCTTTTTAAAAATTAAGCTTGATTAGCAATGTAAGAATGTAGGAGTAAAATTCCAAAGTCAGTGGGGTAGGTAGAAAATACGACCTCAACTCAGAAAAATACTTACAGAGGTCTATTCTACACACATGGGAGATTCAAAGATGAACAAGTCCCAAAACTTAAATAGCTCATAATATAATTAAAATCCTCTTTGATAACAGTGTAAGTTTCTTGGAATCTCAGGACCTCTTTGCTAAATGAATAACATCTCCTCAGTGGGAAAGCTGGGATGTACTAAGTGAAGTAGAGAATGGTTAGGAGGTGGGATCTGGGCAGTCGGAATAAAACTATGTAGGATTTTATATGCAGTAGTATGAGCTTTGGATTCTAATTGAGTAAGGTGGGAAACTATTGATTGGAGAGATTTGAGCAAAGGACAAGTGACATAATCTGACTTACATTTTAGAAGACTCACTCTGGTTTAAGAAGCCATGAATGTAGACATCTAAATAATAGATAAATAGTTTTTATATATATTCATATTTATATAGGATATAAATATAATAGACATAGGTATAAATTTGAATTATAAATAATCATTTCATAAAATGTGATTTTATACATGTATTAAAGTTTTGAGATTTTGAAACAGCTTGTGAGCTATACTTCCAGTTTTTTATCTTGGTATATCAATACTGTTTTGCAAATGATGTTTTCATTTCTGAAACAACTATATGCAAAAAATTAACAGTATGTAAAATGTAACTTGTATTCATGTAAAAATGTTAATAGTGTGTTTCTCTTTGTATCATAATACAAATTCGTTTACTTTGATTAGTCTTAATTATTCTAGAACAGATCTGATGGTCCATGGACTAAACACAGTATGGGATTAAGATTTATTTGGCTTATTCTGAATTTCAAATATTTCTGAGTTTAAATTCCTTTAGTTAGGCATCTGCACTCAGATTTACCACTGGTCTCAACATTCCCTGTTGACTGACATACCTAAGTCAAATATTCATTTATGTTACTTTCCTGACCCTTGTGGGCATCTGAATTTGTGAACCCTTTTCTAGAATTCTGGTGTATTTTTGCTAGAGTTGCCAGGAACAGAAGCCAGATTGCAATGAGTTGTGTAGTGAATGAGAAATGAGGAAGTGGAGCCATGGAAAAGCTTAGCACAGAAGGAAGATTAATAAATAGCTAGAGCCGAATTGCAAATGCAAGTCATGCATAGCACCACTCTGTCTCTGTGTTGCTCAAAGTAGGCCTTTTGCTGTGGCACACTTCCCCAATGAGTCTTCCTCTTTAGCTAGTTTTCCAGTTCATAGTAGATTAGAAATAGCTCCTTAAAAAGTAGATTGCTCACTCGATGCAGCCTTGGTGAGAACACAGAGGATTAAGATGTAATATCAAGAGAGGTGACAGAAACCTTAAAAGCAGATAAAAAGAAACATGGTATCTGGAGTCATTTAGTATAGAGTTAAGTTGCCCAGCAACCTATGAGAACATCACTGTTTTACAGCACAGTAAAGTTACTGTTATAATGATGACTTGGGATATCAAAGAAAGGTTAAATTGTATTGAATAGTCTTTTAAGGAGGAATAAAATGTATGATACATTAAATGAGTAAGAGTTCCACAATTTTCTCACTTGTAATAGCAATGAAGTGCACTTATGTGGAAATTTATGTTTCATCTCTAGCAGATCCATGGTGCTTTCTGACAATTGAGTCTTTTTTTTTTCAACCTATGAGAACATCACTGTTTTACAGCACAGTAAAGTTACTGTTATAATGATGACTTGGGATATCAAAGAAAGGTTAAATTGTATTGAATAGTCTTTTAAGGAGGAATAAAATGTATGATACATTAAATGAGTAAGAGTTCCACAATTTTCTCACTTGTAATAGCAATGAAGTGCACTTATGTGGAAATTTATGTTTCATCTCTAGCAGATCCATGGTGCTTTCTGACAATTGAGTCTTTTTTTTTATAGGGAATCACAATGCTTGGGTGGTCAATTAAGTAGTCTGTGCAGAAGGAAAGATGTATCTCTTTTAGATCTTTTCAGAGAACTGTTTAACCATAAACAACTTTGCCAAAGTACGGATACCTGGTAGTTTCAGAATTGTCTCCTGAGAGTCATTAAAAAGGCACATTAACAGGGAGTGTTTGGTGATGAGGTGAGTAAATAAGCAAGTTTATCTTGGACCCTTTGTTCTCTTTAAATCAAAGAATTTCACCTTAGTGTTAGTTTATGAAAAATAAACTGTCTTTGACTTGATCGTTTACATAACTGATACTCAAAAATAATGCGGAACGCCTCTTCTTCTTCTCAGGATGGCCTGCTGGTCCTTCATTATGGTCTTGTGGTTTCTCCTCTGAAAATCACTTGAAGATGTGAGGACTATTATGAGGCAGGAAACAAAACAAGGAGGCCTCTGCAGGATCACAGCTCACCAAAGATTTCCACAACACATGTATTACTACCACTTTGTGCTGTTTGAGACATAACTTACCTGTTTTCAGCACCAAGAATCATAGCATTTATAGGTACAACTTGGAAATGATGGGATGCATCTGTTTTACTAGAGATTGTATGTAAAAAGCATCCATAGCTCAGGGGAAAAATTTCAAAGCATTGAAGAATTTTTTAATTCCTTGTGATTTCAAATACTTTAACAATGATTTTGTTTCCTTATCTTTGAGGTAAATTGGTTACTGTTTTCTTCCTTGTTGAGCCATTTCCCTTTCAAGTTGGTGGTTAGGACTCTGCTTTCTGGAATGGTATCAGTTGGGCAGTCATCCTTTTGGGAAAAAAGTATGCTTTTTAACTGAAGATTCAAAGCCAGTTTTTGTTAAACTATAGAGTGTACCTTAGACAAAGACCAAAACTATTAGCCACTTTTGTATGTTGCCATCATATTTTGAACTTCTCATTTTTTTTTTTTTTACCAGCAATACTACTACAGATTATTATTCACTTCTAAAAGGGATGAATTATCATTACTCTGTGTGAAGAAACTGTCTCCCATAGGGCTTATGGCTCATACCATAAGCCTTCAGTGTAAGACTTCTTTAACATATCTTACAACAAGGGGTGCCTCTTTGCAATAATATTATTTGAGTACATAGTGTGATTGTTGGTATCTTGTAGAGGCACTGCTTCTGAAAATAATAAATTTGAGAAGTTTACAGAATATTCATTGTTTCTTCAATAAGTCAGTTTAAGTATTTTTTCCAATTACTTTGTTACTGGAATAAAGAATACAGGTGTTTGAGATCTCATTTGCATGCAAAAATTTCAGTTTAAACATTATTTTACCTAAAATTAGCATTGTGATGCTTTCTTAAAGAAATATTTTGTAGACCCTGTTTCACTGCAAAATTGCCAGGTCTGCTTAGAAATGATTACAATTGGATATGAATTGGCAGTTATTTTGTAAGGAATTTGTGAATTGTGTATCTCTTCTAACATTTAATAAAAAAATTTTTGATAAAAATTTATTTTAACCTATTTTGAAATGTTTGTGTTTATTGCAGATTATAAAAAATAACCAACTGTAAACAGAGACAAGGTATCTGATTCAAAGTTAAATTTTGCCATCAATAGATATTTTGTAAACATCTTTACCTTTATTGATCATGCTAAATGCTGTTATTTGACAATGGACAGGATAGCAACTATTCATTGCCTTTTTAATGTTGTTTGCACAAATTACTTAATATATTCTTGTCTCATGTTAACGTAACTGTGTTGGGGATTCCCAAGACCACTCTCAGGTTCAGTGGTTCACTAGAAAGATTCATGGGACCTAGAAAAGCAACTATACTCATGGTTATAGTTTATTACAGTGAAAAGATACTGATCAAAATTAGCAAAGGGCAAAGATGTATAGGGCGGAGTCCAGGAGAAACCAGACACAAGCTCCAGTTGTTCTCTCTCAGTAGACACACAGAGACAGTGTTTAATTCTCCTAGCAATGATATGTGATACGTGAAGTGTTACCAGCCAGTGTCTGGAGTTTTTACTGGGAGTCACATAGACATATAGTGCCCATGTAATTGACTAGCCACTGAGGCTCTAGCACCTGCCCAAAGGTCAAACTGATGGAGCATGCCCTAGGACCCCAGGTATACAGAATTAGGTATTCACCATAAATCACACTGTTAGCATAAACCATTGGGTGTGGCCCAAAGTCTCAGACATACAAAGACAAGGTATTACAAGGGCTCAGAAGTTATGATTTATAGTAACACAAATAATTTTTTAAGTGGAATATTAAATTATTTATTTGATGACACTTCTGCAATGAGCAAGTCAAAAGAATTTATACTTGTTAGACAGTGTGTGGGAAAAATTAAAGAGGGTGATCTTTTAAGGAACTCAGTCTATGGGAAGAACACACATCTTGCAAAATCTTAGCAAAAGGCAGATACTGGTAAATGCTACAAATGTCACAAAGAACTCTAGCCTTTCTTTTTCCCTCCCTCCTGGTCTTTACCTTCAAAAATCCCAAAGAACTAAGTTTTATCTGGTTATATCTATTTGGCCAATTACCATCAGGCAGTAAACTAAGTAAAAATGCTGATTGATTAGTTTATAAATATGTACCCACACACACACCAATGTGATCATGGGCTACATTAACAGAAATACAGTTTCAGATCAAAGGAATTAATACTTCTAATCTCCAGTGCATCTTGTGTCCTGTGTTGGGTAACATATCTCAAAGATACTGATAGATGGGAGGGCAATGAAATAGTGAACAGTCGGAGTGAGAGACCCAGAAACCAACACCAAAAACAAAACAAGAGCAAGGGTTCTTGCTAACTTGGAGGCCAAAAACTTAGGGGTGAGGAGGCAATTCATAGTAGCTGTCTTCAGGTAACCAGAAGGTCAAAGACTTAGATGAGGGAAAAGCACAAGCAAGAACAAACCAATGCAGTCTGCTGCCCTGGGTCTGCCTTGCTGCCAAGAGCAGCAGCATGCATTTAGTTTGGTTGAGATAAGATGAAAACTTTTTCAAAAGTAATTTTTACTAGGAACATAAAGCAGAAACAAAAGTACTCAAATCTGCAGGAATCTGTACTGTGTCCTCTTGGAAGCCTCTGATAATAGTATATGAAGTACACATTCCAGAGCCAACTTCAATGGCTAAAAAAGAAAGATTGTTTGATTGGCACAACCCTCAGGAACCTTTGTTCCTCTCTGAGGTGATACTAAGCAAAGATGCCCAAAGGGATAGTTTGTGGTAGCTGTAGTTTTAACAGAATGTGTGCTTGGCAGGTTCCTCCCTGAAATGCCATCCAGTCTTTTGTATTGGCGTAGTATAGGCTCAGGTCATTTCCTCTGACCCTGGACTTCACTGAGCTTCCTCTCTATTTCCATGGCATTGCCCTTTCCTCTTGATTCAGTAAGATAGATCCTTAACCAGTCTCTAACAATCCTCCTCCAGAGGAGGAGCTAATGTAGACCTTGCGCATAGTGACTTCTGTAATGACTTTGGCTTTGAATTCTTAAAAGTAATGCCTCTGACCCATTTATTTGTTCTATTTGGCTTCCTCAAAGTATATAATCTGTGATTCAATCCTAGATGAATATTTCTGTAGGATCACCAAGTGATAATTGTGTATCAGATGTATATGTGACTAATTAAACATCTTCCACTACAGTTCTAATAGCTGTAACCTCTGAGGTGTACTTTGTCATCTTGGAAACCTCTGATAATAAAGAACATTCAAGCAGATGCTGATTCTGAATGGTCGTCTGTGTTTTCTTTAGTAGATCATGAGTGAAAAAGAAGTCCTTACTTTTATCCTTTTTCAGTATGTTCTGTTATAGATGAGTTTGATTATTGGTCTTTCTTCAAAACCGATGAAATCTAAATTTTACTACCTATTGAAATTAATAGTCATTTCATAAATGAAATGCAATATTGATCTCCTGAAAGCCTGCCAGATATTTACTTACACGGAATGGATATTATGGTTTCAAATTTACTGCATTCTTATTTTGTTCTGATGATGTCTGGTTTTACAGAAGTTCTTATTGTGATACTATTTTCATTTAAATGAAAAAAGATTTTTTTCTTCTAATGTTTCTACAAAAACATTTTCCCAAGAGAAAAGCTGATTGAATGATATTTTAAATTGATTGATAAGACAAAGGTTGCTATGAACAGATATTCTTTTTTCCCAGAAAAACACGGTATTGCTAGTGTTTAAGGACAGGAATTGTAAAGACAGTCTGCATAGTTTTTTTAACCCCTAGCTTTGCTACGTGAAAGCTTGGGCTTGTTATAGAACTTCCCTGAGCTTTAGTTTTTCTTAACCTGCAAATGGGAACAATGGTCTGTAACTCAGACTTGTTAGGAAAATTAATAAGTATATGAAGCCCTCAGAACAGTGCCTGGCATACAGTCAAGTCTATTACCAAGTTCAAATATGGTCCCTATGTAGTTGCTTCTTAGATTACTTTTCTGAATTAGTTCATATGTAATGAATAAAGGGGGTCCATTAAAATTAAATAATTAATGTTGAACCATGTAATTTTTCTTTTTTCTTAAATACTTTCTTCATCCCCTTCTATCAATAACTGGGAGGAAGTTGGGAATACAAGCTCTGAAGTTGGACCTGGACTCTGCTTTCACCCTAATTCTAATCTTCCCTCCACTGCTTCTGCTTTGCAGACTAGGTTAGTCAATGGACAGTTTCAGTTGCCAGAAAGAAATTCCTTTGTTGAGCTCAAATCTGGTTTAAGTTAAAGATTAAAAATAAATAAAGAATATCAAGAATGCTATTTGTCATCTATTTATCCTTATGCAAGGAAATCATGGGAGATGGAAGTCACACCTCACATATCCATACTTAACAATATAACAGAAGAACCGAAGTGAGTTAAATTTGTTTTAAAAGCAATTCTAAGGAAAAATGCTTTTTTTGTCCTGTGTAATAATCATCAATTAACTAGACTTGCCACTGATTGTATGCCAAAACTCCAGCCCTTATGGTAGTAATTTTGGTTACACTCTGCTGAGCATTCTATAACTGCTAAGAGCATGTGACAGAGCTGGAATGAAATGTCTCAGACTTAATTAGAACAGAAACCATCAGCCTCACTAGGGGAGAGAGTAGCCATGTGGTGATCTACAGTAATTAATCAATGAGGAAGCGAGCCTGGAGACCCCTCCAAGATCGATCTTCATTTTTCTTTGTAGCCTGAACTTTCTCTATTTTGTTTTATTCAAAATCACTGATGCACTATAGAAACGTAAATCTTTAGATATCTGCAGCATGGCTCACTCTGTTTTATTACAATTTTGGGTGTGAAGATATTGTAAGAAAGAATTTACAAATTTTAGCTGTCTTAACCCCCAACTAGTAAGCTTGTAAAATATCAGCATAAAACATGAGGGCAATTAAATCATCTTCTAGGCAACTGTTGGAGGAGGAAAGAAGCTCTTTGATCTACATAGTAAACATTCTTTTCACCCTTTAAGAGTGTATAGCAGAGGATGGTAATGTAATAACAGTCCTTTGTTTGGCTGGATTCAGGTACACTCACCCCATTGCAAATGGCATCTCCATGTGAGATACTTGAAACAGCAAAAGGCCTGATGGCATCAATTTAACCTGTACATTTAATTTAAACATGCAGCAAAGCCATTAATATATGTTCTATAAAGAAAAGTAAAATTTCATATATGAACTCTATGTTAAGATCTTACAAAGCCTCCCTCAGTTATTGTCATTTAAGATTACTGTGCTTTCAGGCATACCAATTTAGTTTCTAAGGAAAAAAATGTATTCTCACGATTTAGATGTTTTTCAGGACCTTACAGATTTCTGATGATATGCTAATATTAGATATATACTATGTACAGATGATATGCTAATAAAAATAACATTAGTTGGAAATGAGTGATGGGTGCTCATGAACAAGCAACATTTCTGGCTATTCTTTCTTTTGCTTATGTGCAGGAAGATTTCTGTTTTTTTTCTCCGAGCTCTGTTTTGAAATCAATACTCTTATTAGATCTGGCTTATGTTGTCCTAATGGATTTGTTCTAACGGTGTGTGACCCAGGTGGCTATACATAATATATCATAGTGGCCTCAGCTGGAACATGGTAGTAGACTTCGTAATTATATTTTTCTGATAGTTGCATAAGTTCTCTGTAAGTGGATTTTTTAAAATTGAGTTAAAATTTACATGACATAAAATTATTTGAAGGTGAACAATTCAGTGGCATTTAGTACATTCACAATGTTGTGCAGCCACTGCCTCTATCTAATTCTAAAACATTCCCATCATTCCAAAATAAAACCTCATATCCATTGACTGGTTAATACCTTCTTTCCCTTCTCTCCAGCCCTGGCAACTAGTCTGCTTTCCATTCTAATGGTTTTAAAAATACATCTTAAAAACTGTTGCATGTTTGCCTTTAGAGCTATGAATGGTGGTTCTGGGCTCCCTGCTTGTGTTCACAGATAAGTTCTAGAAGCTTATCCCCAG